AGCTTTTGACGTGGTTTTCATATCACCAGAGATTTTTGGAAATTCGCACTAGTGATTTCGTCGGCTATAGACATGCAGTTGAAATTAATTCTATGTAATCGCCTGCGTCTTAGGTGCATTATTCTGTACTCACAACTACCGACAAAAAATACTAGCAACGACCCTTTTACCTATTCATCCTTAAAACTTCTGCAACACTAGCTTATGTTAAGGTAGTAGCGTGTCGTTTTTATGCGCACATACCATCATCTGCCATTTGAAACTATTGGTATCCAGGTTGTTCCTGATGTAAAACTCTCGTGACAATGAGCAAGCGTGATGAAAAGAAGATTCTCACATTATTTTCTGAGATTAAAAAGACTAAAAGCCACATCTCTGTTGACGTTCCAGTGTGGACAAAGGATGAATTATTATTGAAGCTTCAAGAGTTATATTCTTCGATTATTTTACTTGATCCTGTCCTGGCTGTTGGACAAAAATTTGAGGTTGAATTATGGAATTCCGTCTTCAGGCAACCCATACAGTTGTATCAGGAAATAGTAAGCTTTACTTAATACTTTCCGTTATGACACTATATTTTATACCTTCAATCTGTTTTATTTTTAGTTTCCAAGTTAACCTTGGATCGTCAAACATCTAGATCTTCTAATCTTCATCTTTGGTTCTTATATTACGGTTTTCCTAACCAGTGTTTCATAGGAATGCACGGTTTTAGTTAGAGCCGTCCTAGTACTCTGAAATTTTATCTAAGAATGCCAGACATTGACGATCAGAATGCTGCTATGGTATCTACGCATGTTTCAATAATTTGTTTCTCCTGTACATCTCATATACCCTGGTCCAGTCATAGGATTATACCTATTTATTTATTTAACTATTTGCCACTGTCTTATGACCTTAAGCGATTTTTATTGGTTGCTGAATGTCCTTCTTAGTCAACTGTTTTTTCGATCAGTGTCATGTCCAAAACGTTTTAACGACGTCCCAATCTGGGAACCTTGTCTTGATTTCCAAACAGTTATCTTTGGCGAAATCAATCAGTAGACTTTCTAGTATGATGTCATTAGTTTTTACC